CCATTTCTAGCCTCTCTCTGGTTTTCCTGAAGTCTCACTGGGACCACCTCTGGCCAGGAGGCCAGTGACTTGCAGCCAGGTTCCAGCTCTGCATGACCTTGGCAAGTCCCATCTCTCTGAGTCCTGAGTTATTTCACCTCCATAGAGTGGGAAAGAGCAAAGATTTTTAAATGCTTTTTATTTTTTATCATTATTTTTTTTTGAGACAGAGTTTCACTCTTGTCACCCAGCTAGAGTGCAGTGATGCGATCTTGGCTCACTGCAACCTCCACCTCCCAGGTTCAAGGGATGCTCCTGCCTTAGCCTCCCAAGTAGCTGGGATTACAGGTGTGTGCCACCATGCCCAGCTAATTTTTGTATTTTTAGTAGAGATGGGGTTTTACCATGTTGGCCAGGCTGGTCTTGAACTCCTGACCTCAGGTGATCCACCTGTCTTGGCCTCTCAAAGTGCTGGGATTGCAGGCGTGCACCACCACGCCTGGCCTATTTTTATTTTTTAAGAAGTAGAAACCTTAGTATTTGGAGAGAAATGTGAGGAATGTCAATATGTAAAATAAGGCGGGACTGCACTGGTTGGAGCAGGGGAGCCTGGGGTCCGGCCTGCTTGGCCTCCCGTATGCCCCTGAGTGCCTCTCCCACACCCACAGCCTGAGAGCCACCGCACTGCAGGACTGCTAAGGGACTTCTTGCCCTCAAGCTTAATAGGAGCTTCCAAGTGGGCTAGGGCTGGGAGGTCCAAGAGCAGTGCTATCTGTTGGAGAGACAGCTGGCTGCCTAATGGGGACAGGAGAGGGCAGACCCATTGTGCCTTGCTCATGAAGACATTTCTCGACGAGAACTAGCTTGCCAGGGGTGGTTGCGGCTCTAGCCGAAGGTGCAATATGAACCACCTCCCTCCCAGAGCTGTGCATGGGGGGAGGCAGCTACCCAGACATCCCTCAGGAAGCTGCCAGGGTCACACTGACTGGGGACAGGAGACCCGTGTGATGACCCCCACTCCCACCCCCCAGGTGCCTGCACCTTGGGCAGGATAGAAGGAAGCAGATGTAGAGGAAAGTGTGGAGCATGGAGTCCACTACCTAGAAGTGATTGGAGTCCTCGGGTCCAGCTTTACTGTCCCAAGGGAGAGCAGACGTTGAGAGCACCAGACCAGGCCCTGCCTTTAGCCTCTGTTCTGAAAACCCCCTCATCCCACAGTGTCTGCTTAATCCATGTTAACAGTGGACTGACCTCCCGCCTCCATGGCCTCACACTGGGCCTGCCCCAGATCCTCACAGGCCTCCTTCGAAAAATAAACACTTTCTCCATTATCCCATCAGCAGCTTCACAGGATTTTCTGCTATTAGTTCCCATCTCCAGTGAAGTGGAAACACATGTTCCAAAGAGCCTCTGCTTGCCCACCAGCCACCATGGGGCTGGAGCTGTGCCTGGCCACGTGCAGCTGCCCACTGGGGAGAGAGGCGGTCAGAACCCCCAAAATTCTGCCACCTCCAGCATAAACCAAGGGTCTCCACACAACTGGGCAAGGAGCTGGGAGACACAGCTTCTGTGTGATGCTCTTCACTGGCTGTGTCTTCTGGCTAAGCTCATTACCTCTCTGGGCCTCAGTTTCTATTTTATTGCAGCTTATTATTTTGAGACAGAATATCGCTCTTTTGCCCAGTCTGGAGTGCAGTGGCGTGATGTTGGCTCACTGCAACCTCCACCTCCTGGGTTCAGGTGATTCTCATGCCTCAGCCTCCCAAGTAACTGAAATAACAGGCATGTGCCACCATACCCAGCTAATTTTGTGTGTGTGTGTGTGTGTGTGTGTGTGTGTGTGTGTGTGTGGTATTTTTAGTAGAGACGGAGTTTCACCAGGTTGGCCAGGCTGGTCTCGAACTCCTGACCTCAAGTGATCCACCTGCCTCAACCTCCCCAAAGTACTAGGATTACAGGCATGAGCCACCATGGCCGGCCTCAGTTTCTATTTTAAAATGGAGATTATAACTCCTATTTTAAGGACTAGAGGATCAAAATTATCTGAGAGGACAAGGAAGGGTCTTCAAGTGCTTTGCCAGTGGGAATGGGGTACCTGGAACATGTCTTACTCTTCTGGCCTTTTCTGATCATCTCTCCTTCTGTAGATGTAGTAAAGGAAGTAGCCAGGCCTTCCCTCACTGCACTGCCCTACACCCTAAGAGAGAGCCTTTGGAAGCTCAGACCCCTGGGGTTGGCTGCCTCCCTTTCGGTGCCTAGTGCATTCCGCCCCCCACGGCCACAGTTCTCTGAGAAGGCTCTAGAATGCTCCATCATTGGCTCCTAAAGGTGGGGCAGGGCGCTGCCCAGCTGGCCTTGGCTAACACCCCCACAATGCCCATTGCAGGCGCTGGCACAGAGCAGAATCAGGCTGGGAGCTGCAAATGTTTGTCCCTTGGTTCCATCTCTCAGCTCCTTCTCACTTCCTCTGCCTGTGGAGTTCGAGATCAGCCTGAGCAACATGAAGAAACTCTGTCTCTACTAAAAATGTAAAATTAGCCAGGCATGATGGCGCACGCCTGTAATCCCAGCTACTCCGGAGGCTGAAGCAGGAGAATCTCTTGAACCTGGGACACGGAGGTTGCTGTGAGCTGAGATCTCCCCACTGCACTCCAACCTGGGCAACAAGAGGGAAACTCCGTCTAAAAAAAAAAAAATAGTAGTTCTTTCTATGTGTGTGCGTATCTCTGTATCAGATTCTCACCAGAAAAAAAATATATAATATATTTCTAATTTAATTCATTACTGAGTACATACCTGACGGGGAGTGCCACCAGTTTGTCAAAACAATAATGAAAACTGACACCTCTACTTAGTTTTCTAAAATTTTTTTTTGTTGTTGAAATGTGACAACCTTACTACCCGTAATTCAAAAATCTTAACATAGTCCGCTCAATGTATTTTTTAAAAAACTAGGACTTGGCCTGCAGGAGGTGAGCCAAGGCACTGAAGGAGAGGTGGGTGAAAGAGGCCAGGACAGTGATGAAGAGGGGCAGGGCGTGTGGGTCTCCCCAGAAGTCCATGGTCCCCACAAGGAGGGCCAGCCGCAGCAGCAGCGGCTGAACCGCATGCGGAAGTAGAAGCGCCAGGAAGCGCCAGGTCTGATGCAGTGGCCGGTAGCCCGTGTAGACGTACAGCTTCCAGAAAAGGGGCGGTACCTTGGCTCTGTCCCTGGTGAAGACAGGCTCGGGCTGCAGAGATGGCTGAGGCTCCTGGATGGCCTGCCGCAGACTGGGCAGGAGGTGGCTGAGCTCCTGGGCCATGGCCATAGCTGTGGGCCTGGGCAGGGAGCTGGGAGAGAGGCCAGAGCACAGTCAGGGGCCTGGTGTCCTCACCCCCACGAGCAGCAGCTGGGGGACTCTGATGCCCAGATCTTACTCCCTCCTCCCCGATGGCCTTGTCTTTACACTGGATTTAAGAACAGAAGACTCATCCTGTGGAATTCCCCATCTCTGACCTCGGGACAGCAAGCATCCCTGATGTATCCCAGGTACCTAGAACAGTGCCTGACACATAGTAGGTGCCCAATAAATGCTTGAGGAATGTATTTAAAAAAAAAAAAAAAACCTCTAGATAGGCCAAGGGGTGTGACGCCATCGGAGCACAGGCGACCTCGAAGACATTGCTGCCCTGGCCCTGATGCTTTTCCAGCATTCTTTCAATCAACATGAGTCTGAAATTGACATGGCTAATCATGTGCTGGGGTTGTCCTTCTTGAACAGGTTGTAGGAGTTCAGAGCTGTAATGGTTAGAGGATGGTGAAAGGATTTCTTATACCACACCTTGTGTGTTATCTGGGAGTAAATGCTGCAGCCACAAGTGCCACCAGCGTGTCTTCTCAGGGTGAACGGGAAAAGGGGATGGAACCTTGCTGAGCTAAGTCATGCTAAACGCAGACAGCAAACAAACTTTCCATCAAAGGGCTGGGGGAACCCTGGGCTGGTTGGTGAGGAGACAACACCCCAGGCAGGTGTTCCAGATCTTGGACCTTGCCCCTCCTCAGGAGGAGTTGTTTGCTTCGTCCCTCCTCTCACTGCACGTTTGTGCTGCCAGCCCTGCTGTGTAGTGTGGGGGCTCAAGACTAAGGCAGTGCATCATTTCTGTGGAGGGAGATGGATCGGGGAGGGGGCTTGGGTGAGACCCATGGCTCACCTCTCTCAAGTCCTTACCAGACTAAGACATCCTCAAGGGCCAGAGACCAGCCTGCCACTCACCTTTTTGCCACCTGATGTTGAAGGGGGCCAGCCCTTCCACACCTGTGGGTATATCTCATCAGGTGAGACAAGAGACTGAGAAAAGAGATAAGACACAGAGACAAAGAATAGAGAAAGAACAGTGGGCCCAGGGGACCTCACCGGCACGGATCTCTGAGTTCCCTCAGTATTTTTTGATTAGTATTTTCACTCTCAGCAAGAGGAATGCGGAAGGAGAGCAGGGTAATAGTAGGCAGAAGGTCAGCAAGAAAACACGCGAGCAAAGGAATCTGTGTCACACATAAGTTCAAGGGAAGGTACTATGCTTGGATGTGCATGTAGGCCAGATTTATGCTTCTCTCCACCCAAACATCTCAGTGGAGTAAAGCATAACAAAGCAGCATTGCTGCCAACATGTCTCGCCTCCTGCCATAGGGCGGTTTTTCTCCTATCTCAGAATAGAACAAATGTACAATCGGGTTTTATACCGAGACATTCCATTCCCAGGGTCAGGCAGGAGACAGTGGTCTGTGCTGAGGAGGATTAGTAAAGAGGAAAGCCTGTGCAGTTGAGATGAGGAAGGCCACTGTCTCATGCCTGACCCTAAGGAATGGATTACATTAAATCCTTTCTAGAATTTCGTGGCTGGGACTTGAGCCTGATCTTGGTCCATTTACTGATGACGAATCTAGTACTGAACTGGATCCAGTTCCTGACAAGGAACTCTGTCCTAGAATCACTCACACGTGACAGTTGACAGGTGGCCCCACCGGGTTTGCGTGCTGGACGGGTGTTCTGCTAGGCCGGCCTCTCCACGCCCAGGGGGACTGGACTGGTTTCTGCTCCTCAGAGAGTTTGCCCAGAGACTCTGAGGAAGAAATCAGTCACCTCAGGCCTCTCCATCCTAGAGACGGCAGAAGGACAAACGTCTCCTGCTGGCACAAGGTAGGGGGTGGGGGGTGGCCGGTGTTCCAAACACCAGTGCAGAGGGAACGTGTGTGTGTTTGGGAGTGAAGGAGGAAAGCAGGGGCTCGGGTGGTGAGAAAACCAGGGGCAATGAAGTAAAAGTGGCATTGGGGGAGCTGCTGGGGGTGTGGGGGTGGGGACACTGGATAAGGCAGGGAGGACAGGGGTGGTGCTGCGGGTCCTCTGCCTCCACACCAAGCACTCAGGGATCTGTGCCTCCCGCCAGTCTGGAGTCCCAATCGCCCCTCTCTCCAATTTGGGGGACAGGGATTTCTTCTTGTTCTCCTGCCCTAACTCCTTCCTTCCGACTTCTCTTGTCCCATTCTCCCTCAGATCCTCCCCTCCACAGCCTCGCTCTGCTGGGCCTTGGCATTCCCAGCCTGGGTGTTGAAACCATTGGCCTCAAGGCAGCTGGGCAGGGAGAGGATGGCTAGAAGCCCAGGGCACACTGCCACAAAAAGGTTGTGACTCATTTTCAGGAATTAAAAATGCAGTCCAATTCATTTTAAAACTTTCGTCTCTCTTGGGACTATAGGCTGAATTTTCTTTATAGCAACAGGCTTCCAGGGACTACATGAAATTATTGGTTCCTCTGTCCTTATCATCTGCTTCTTACTTCCATTAAAACTCCACTTTAGCCGGGCATGGTGGCTCACTCCTGTAATCCCAACACTTTGAGAGGCTAAGTAGGGAGAATTGCTTGAGCCCAGGAGTTTAAGATCAGCCTGGGCAATGTGATGAGACCCGTCTCTACACCAAAAATTTAAAAATTAGCTGAGTGTGGGGGCTCACGCTTGTAGTCCCAGCTATTCTGGAGGCTGAAGTGGGAGGACTGATTGAGCCTGGGAGTTCAAGGCTGCAGTGAGCCGTGCTCATGCCACTGCACTCCATCTGGGCAACAGAGCAAGACCTGGTCTCAAAAAAAAAAAAAAAAAAAAAAAAAAAAAAATTTTCTACTTCATATGTAACCATCATTTCAGTTTGGAAGCCACTGCCTAAAGCTGACATTTTGCAGTTGGAATATGGCTATTCCTTCCCATCTTCAGGTTGACTCAGGCCAACCTGGGATTCAGGACCACAGAGGAGAACAAGGGTGGAAGGGCCCCTTTCTCCTTTCTGTGTGTCCTTCCCAGCCTATCTGCAGCTCTTTCTTTGTCTTCAGTGTTGGGTCTGCATCCCAGATGTCAGGACCCACGTACAGGCCTGGTGTGTTCCTTCCTGTGATTCATCAGACTTGTAGAAAATATTGGCAAGGAGCTACTCCGTGGTCATATCACACATGCACATGCACACACATGCACCCACATGCGTGTGTGCGCGCACACACACACACACACACACACCCCGACCTTGGCCCACCCCCGTTGGTGTCCCCACAGCAGCAACATTTGTAGGGCGGTAGCAGTGAATCCCCCTCCGTGCACTCTTAGGTCTTGGGTGTGTACAGAACAGGCTCCACTCAGGACAGATTTGAGACCCCTTCTCCAGACCAAGAGGTGGAAGTGCACCCTCAGAATTGAGGTACTTTAACCTTAGCAGTCAGAGAACTATGTAGGGGATGTGTAAAAAATGTGCATTCCTGGGCCCTTTCAAACCCTGGACCCACTGTCCTCTGAGCAGACAACCCCTTATCCCCCCAATCCCAGAGAGAGCCCCGCCCAGAGTCCAAGGTTAGTTTTTTTAAAGTCTGTTCCATCTAGTTATAAAGGACAGTGGTACAGACCTACTCACCAGGCATCACCAGAGTTCCAGCATCTGAGTCACAAGAAATCACCCTCTGAGTCTGACATGCACTTGAATTAACTGGCACACTGCCCGGCATACACAGGGAACCCAGATGTGGAATGGATATGGGTGGTGTTACACGCCACATGTTTACCTGCCCTCCAAATTCATATGCAGAAATCCTAACTCTCAAAGTGATGACATTTAAGTCATTAGTCATGCAAGTGGAGCCCTGTGGGATTAAGAGGTGACAGGAGAGCTTGCTGTCATTCTCTGCTCCCCACTGTGTGAGGATACAACAGGAAGACAGCCATCTGGTGAGGAAGAGAGGGCCGTCGCCAGATACCGGACCTGCTGATACCTTAATCTTGGACTTTCCAGCCTCCAGGACGGTGAGAAATCAATGCTTGGTGTTTCAGCCACCTGGCCTATTCTGTTGTGGCAGCCTGAACTGACTAAGGGAGCGGGGTCTGATGATGAAATGGGACAGGTGTAAAAGTGAGGTGGGAAGGAGGACTACGACTACTAAGTTTTAAGAGGAAACCTTGTGCAAAAAGTGGCTTGAGAAGTTTGAAAATGACACAAAACTTTGTTCTAAGACAAATTTTCAGAATTCAAAACTTAGAGCCCCAAGACTTTTCCCAGTGATAGACTTGGCTTTCCTTGAGGTCTTGGCCCCAGTAGGACAGCTGGGCTCTATTATAAAACCCATCTGTTATGGTAGACCAGTTGCTGCCTGTTTGCAGCTAGTTTAATTAACATTTGGGTGTGCTTGGTAAGAGAAAATCTCAACCATTTAAGAGGAAAGAGTTTGAATGGGTTAGGGATAGTGGGAGAGGGGAGAAAGGAGATGGGAGAAAATATGGGAATGGGGAGGGGTACCAGAAAGAAAGGGAACAGCAAAAGAGGCAGGGAGGAGAAGGGAAGAGGAAATTGGAAGAAGGGAGAAGGAGCTCACATAACCTCCAACCATCCTGCTCACACCAGAGGGGGTTTTGCAGGGGCCATGGGGATGGCAGAGGAGAGTTTATTCACAGTTAATTTTGTTTTTAAATGTCTTCTTTCATTTTTCAATAAGTAATTATATTCTGAATACTTGGAAAACACTCCCTTCACAAAATTGTTCTTTAATGTGGTCTCTACAGGCCTGCCCTCAGTTGTTCCAGGGTAAAGAATTGGGGCAGTGCCCACACCCACGCTGTTGGACATTTCTTCACCATACCAGTGACGGTGTTTGTGTCCATGCCCAGCTTCCTGCCTGTTACTCTCCACAATGTGCCAAGAATGCCCCTGACTTGTAGCCCTGTGCGCCTTCTTTTGCTTCTACTGTTGCTACTAACAGCCTTGGAGATCATGGTTGGTGAGTGTCCTGAGATCTCAAGACCTGGCTGAGAACAAGAAGGAGGAGGGAGAAAGGTGGGGGATAGGCGACTGGGGTCTCATGCAGGCTTCAGGCAAGCAGGTACCTGCTCTTAAGGATGATGTGAAGGAGAGGATCCCTGGGATGTTACCCCCAGTTGATGGGAGACCCCAGCCGGAGGCCCTAGGCCAGGCACGGGCTCACATGTGGCAGTTCTACAATGCTACCTCCCACCTTCTACTCCAGGACTCTTTCCTGAACGCCCAGGACCCCAGAGGAATTCAGCGTGTGTCCCGTGATAAACGCCTCTTTTTCCTTTCTGTTGAATGTCCTGTGTGTTCAGCTAGATTTTAAGTCACAGGAGGTCACACAGAGGTTTGTCTGTTTTGTGCCTCGGAACTTGGTAGATGTTGCTAAAAGTATTTGTGACATGAATCCTCCTGTTAACACCATTAACACTAAGTACACCCCAGGGGTCCCCGGTAATATCAAGTATCTCACCCCAGACAGTCAGGGGGAGATGGGAGCAGGGATCCGGAGGGTTCAGGGAGTCTGGGATGGAACTGCCCCCTCTGCCAGCCTGGCCTGGTCCAGGGAGTCTTGGGTCACAGAAGCACGGGTTCTAATGGGCCTCTTCCCCTGTCCTGGACCTCACCTGCATCTTTCTCTCACAGGTGCTCACTCTCTTTGCTTCAACTTCACTATAAAATCATGGTCCAGACCTGGACAGCCCTGGTGTGAAGCACAGGTCTTCATGAATAAAAATCTTTTCCTTCAGTACGACAGTGACAGCAACATGGTCAAGCCTCTGGGTCTCCTGGGGAAGAAGGTAAATGCCACCAGCACATGGGGAGAATTGACCCAAACACTGAGAGAAGTGGGCCGAGACCTCAGGATGCTCCTTCTTGACGTCAAACCCCAGATAAAGACCAGTGGTAAGTGTGGAATGGGGTGGGGAAACGGAGGCAGGCAGCAAGAGAGGGGAGGGAAGAGCACAGGTGGGGAGGGTCTTTAGGTGTATTTGTGTATTGATCCTTGGCCCAACCATAGAGACACAGGGGACCCAACGGGCAGGAAAGGGCAAGTCCGGGCAGAAAGAATACAGGCCCCTAAATATTCAGAGAAACACTTGACCTATTGGAAGACGATGGACCTCTCAAGAGTGGAGGATGATGGCTTTGTGCCTGGATTGCAGGTCCTTCCACTCTGCAGGTCGAGATGCTTTGTCAACGTGAAGCAGAACGATGCACTGGTGCATCCTGGCAGTTCAGCATCAATGGAGAGAAATGCCTCCTCTTTGACGCAATGAACATGACCTGGACAGTAATTAATCATGAAGCCTGCAAGATCAAGGAGACATGGAAGAAAGACAGAGGGCTGGAAAAGTATTTCAGGAAGCTGTCAGTGGGAGACTGTGATCACTGGCTCAGGGAATTCTCAGGGCACTGGGAGGCGATGCCAGAACCGACAGGTAACTGAGCCGGGAGGGAGAATGAGGCAGCTCCTTTGAATTAAAAAGCCTTCCCTGTGTCAGTATGTGCAATAGAAAATTTGATTGACTTCTCCATTGGAGGCTTCTTGACTGGAGAGCCAGTGGCGGCCATGAGGATTTCCACCATCCTCCTTTCCCATCCCATTTTCACTGTTTCTTCCTCAGTATAGAAACCTTCCCATTAACCAATAGTCAGTACCCAATGACCCACCACTAAATGGTCCCAAGTCTATGCGTCATTGCAAACATCCAGGCCTTCTCTTCCTTTATTATAATTGCCAGCTACCAGGTCTAAAATGCCACTTCTTAGAAATTCCCCGCACAGGAGGTGAGCAGGGCCAGAGCGTCATCCTCCAAACAGTTCTAACTGCGTGTCGTCACGAAATTGTGTGGTAATCAGAGATGGACATTTGCCACCTCTCTCCAGCAGAAATCCTGGTGTCCATAAGGACAAAGGCACAACATCATTCATCTTCACATGGCCCAGGGTCCAGTGGTGGCTGTCACATGAGCCAGTGATTATGTAAGGGCACATAGCTTGTTTCCTGGGAAAGCAGGGGCTGAGGAAGCGTATTTTTAGGTGTCACAGGCTTGTGCTTTGTTGTTGTTGTTGTTTAGTGTCACCAGTAAATGCTTCAGATATCCACGGGTCTTCCTCTAGCCTACCAGATACGCTGGCTCATCCTGGGGACATTCATCTTGACGAGTCACCCCAATGAAATTTTCTCATCGTCATGTAGGAAAAAGAAAGAGAGATCAGACTGCTATACGTGAAAAGCCACCTTGTAGAAGGAAAACATAAGAAACTCCATTTTGACCTTTACCTGAACAATTTACTTTGCCCTGAGATGCTGTTAATCTGTAGCTTTGCCCCAACCTTGAGCTCCGGCTGTGTTGTATGGAATCAAAGGTTTAAGGGATCTAGGGCGTGCAAGGATGGCCCTTCACTAACAAAATGTTTTACAGGTAGTATGCTTGGTAAAGTCATCGCCGTTCTCCAGTCTGGATAAACCAGGGCACAATGTACTGTGGCAGGACCTCTGCCCTGGAAAATGGTATACGTCCAAGAGTTTCTCCCCCATGTGATAGCCACAGAATGTAACCGTGGAATTCGGGAAAGACCTGGCCGTTCCCCCAGTCAAACACCCATGAAGGGTCTGTGCTGAGGTGGATTACTAAAAAGAGAAGCCTGTTGCAGTTGAGATGAGAGGGAAGGCCACTGTCTCCTGCCTGACCCTGGGAATGAATATCTCCGGTATAAAACCAGATTGTACATTTGTTCTATTTGACTGTCTCCTGCCTGACCCTGGGAATGGAATGTCTCGGTATAAAACCAGATTGTACATTTGTTCTATTCTGAGATTGGAGAAAAACTGCCCTATGGCAGGAGGCGAGACATGTTGGCAGCAATGCTGCTTTGTTATGCTTTACTCCACTGAGATGTTTGGGTGGAGAGAAGCATAAATCTGGCCTACATGCACATCCAAGCATAGTACCTTCCCTTGAACTTATGTGTGACACAGATTCCTTTGCTCACATGTTCCCTTGCTGACCTTCTCCCCACTATCACCCTGCTCTCCTTCCACATTCCTCTTGCTGAGAGTGAAAATACTAATCAATAAATACTGAGGGAACTCAGAGACTGGTGCCGGTGCAGGTCCTCTGTATGCTGAGCGCCGGTCCCCTGGGCCCACTGTTCTTTCTCTATTCTTTGTCTCTGTGTCTTTTTTCTTTTCTCAGTCTCTTGTCCCACCTGACAAGATATACCCACAGGTGTGGAGGGGCTGGTCCCCTTCATCTGCCGCCCAATGTGGGTGCCTTTCTCTAGGGTGGAGATACGCTAAGAATGTGAGCATTGAGGACAGTCGACAAGATTCCCGAGTACGTCCACGGTCAGGTCAGCCTTGCGGCAAGCTTGTGCGCTAGGAGGAACCCGGGGTAACAACGGGACAAACTGAAAGTAAATATGCCTCTTATCTCAGCGTCATTAAAATTCTTTTAAGAAAAGGGGGAGTTAAAGCTTCTGCAGAAAATCTAATTACGCTATTTCCAAAAATAGGACAATTCTGCCCATGGTTCCCAGAACAGAGAACTTTAGATCCAACAGATTGGGAAAAAATTGGCAAAGAATTAAAACAAGCAAGTAGGGAAGGTAAAATCATCCCACTTACAGTATGGAATGATTGGGCCATTATGAAAGCAAATATAGAACCGTTTCAAATAGAAGAAGATAGTGTTTCAGTTTCTGATGCCTCTGAAAGCTGTGTAATAGATTCTGAAGAAGAGGCAGGGATAGAATCCCAGAAAGGAATGGAAAGTTCACACTATAAAAATGTAGCAGAGTCTGTAATGGCTCAGTCAACGCAAAATGTTGACTATAATCAATTACAGGAGTTAATATATCCTGAATCATCAAAACTGGGGGAAGGAAGTCCAGAATTACTGGGGCCATCAGAGCCTAAACCACAATGGCCATCAACTCCTCCTCCCGCGGTTCAGATGCCTGTAACATTACAACCTCAAATGCAAGTTAGACAAGTGCAAACCCCAAGAGAATATCAAGTAGAAAAGGATAGAGTCTTTATCCCAGCAATGCCGATTCAGATACAGTATCCACAATATCAGCCGGTAGAAAATAAGACCTAACCACCGGTAGTTTATCCATAGCGGCTGTCAGCCGAGTTTCAGTATTGGCCGCCTCCAGAGGTTCAGTACAGACCTCAAGCAGTGTGTCCCGGGCCAATAGCATGGCACCATGCCAGCAATCCACGGCAGTGGTGTTTAATCCTACATCACCACCTAGTGGACAAGGTGGTACACTGCATGAAATCATTGATAAAGCCAGAAAACGGAGATCTTGAGGCATGGCAGTTCCAACCGATACGGATACAGGCCGGGGAAAGGGAGTCAAGCAGGAGCATCTGTCCGAACTGAAGCTAGATATGGATCTTTCACCATGAAAATGTTAAAAGGTATTAAGGAAGGAGTTAAACAATATGAACCCAATTCCCCTTATATGATAACATTATTAGATTCCCTTCCTCATGGAAATAGACTTATTCCTTATGATTGGGAAAATTTGGCTAAATCTTCCCTTTCACCCTCTCAGTTTCTACAGTTTGAAACCTCATGGACTGATGGAATACAAGAACAGGTACAAAAAAATCAGGCTACTTATCCTGCTGTTAATATAGATGCAGACCAAACGCTAGGAACAGGTCCAAACTGGAGCACCATTAACCAACAATCAGTGATGCAGAATGAGGCTATTGAACAACTAAGGACTATTTGCCTCGGGGCCTGGGGAAAAATTCAGGACCCAGGAACCACCTACCCTTCTTTTAGTTCAATTAGACAAAGCTCTAAAGAGCCATATCCAGACTTTGTGGCAAGGTTGCAAGATGCCACTCAAAAATCTATTACAGAAGATAACGCCTGAAAAGTTATTGTGGAAATAATGGCCTATGAAAATGCAAATCCAGAATGTCAATTGGCCATAAAGCCATTAAAAGGAAAAGTTCCAGCAGGAGTTGATGTAATTACAGAATATGTGAAGATTTGTGATGGGATTGGAGGAGCTATGCATAAGGCAATGCTAATGGCTCAAGCAATTACGGGGTTGCTTTAGGAGGACAAGTTAGAACATTTAGGGGAAAATGTTATAATTGTGGTCACATCGGTCATCTAAAAAAGAATTGCACAGTCTTAAACAAACAGAGTAAAAATAAAGAGCCACCCGGCCTGTGTCCAAGATGTGGAAAAGGAAAACATTGGGCTAATCAATGTCGTTCTAAATTTGATAAAAATGGGCAACCATTGTTGGGAAACAGGAAGAGGGGCCAGCCTCAGGCACGGAGGCCCCACAACAAACTGGGGCATTCCCAACTCAGCCATTTGTTCCTCAGGGTTTTCAGGGACAGCAACCCCCACAGGAAATACCACCACTTCAGGGAGTCAGCCCATTACAACAATACAGCAGCTGTCCCCCACCACAGCAGGCAGCGCAGCAGATCTATGTTCCACTCAAATAGTTTCTTTACTTCCTGGAGAGCCCCCGCAAAAGATTCCTACAAGGGTATAAGGCCCGCTGCCAGAAGGGACGGTAAGCCTTATTTTAGGGAGATCAAGTCTAAATTTGAAGGGAGTCCAAATTCATACTGGGGTAATTGATTCAGATTACAAAGGAGAAATTCGGTTAGTGATCAGCTGTTCCCTGGAGTGCCAATCCAGGGGATAGAATTGCTCACTTACTGCTTTTGCCTTATATTAAAATTGGAGAAAACAAACCAGAAAGAACAGGAGGGTTTGGAATACCAACCCTGTTGGAAAAGCCACTTATTGGGCCAGTCAGGTCTCAGAGAACAGACCTGTGTTCACTATTCAGGGAAAGCAGTTTGAAGGAGTAGTGGATACCAGGGCTGATGTTTCTATCACCACCTTTAATCAATGGCCAAAAAAATTGGCCTAAACAAAAGCCTGTTACAGGATTTGTCGGTGTGGGCACCGCCTCAGAAGGGTATCAAAGTGCCATGATTTTACATTGTCTAGGACCTGATAATCAAGAGAGTACAGTTCAACCTGTGATCACTTCTATTCCAATTAATTTATGGGGCCAAGACGTGTTACAACAATGGCATGCAGAGATGACTATCCCAGCCTCCCTATACAGCCCCACGAGTCAAAAAGTCATGACTAAAATGGGATATCTCCCTGGCAAAGGACTAGGGAAGAATGGAGATGGCATTAAAGTCCCAATTGAGGCTGAAGGAAATCAAGAAAGAAAAGGAGTAGGGTATCCTTTTTAGGGGCGGCCACTGTAGAGCCTCCAAAACCCATTCCATTACCTTGGAAAACAGAAAAACCTGTATGGGTAAATCAGTGGCTGCTACCAAAACAAAAGCTGGAGGCTTTACACTTACTGGCAAAGGAACAATTAGAAAAGGGACATACTGAGCCTTCATTTTTGCCTTGGAAGTCTCCTGTGTTTGCAATTCAGAAAAATTCCAGCAGATGGCGCATGCTGACCGACTTAAG